AAGAAAGCAATGTTGACTTCACTTTAATTTGTAATGAATTGATGACAGAAAAAAATGCATTTTACCGTAATACACACATCTGTAACAGTTAGTGATCCCGAAATCGGAAGTAATCAGTCGAAAGATTGTTGATAATAGAAAAGTAAAAATTATTGAGGAGTTTTTCTTCAATGTTTGGCGTGTTTCTGAAAGATTTGCCAATGTTCTGGCAAGTGTTTTCAAGTTCTTCGGCCTTTTCCTTAGGGAAATTTTGCTTCTTATTTGCTGCTTAGAAAATGGCGTCTGACTCTGCCAATGATTCTGATGGAACTTAATGAAAACTTAATAAATAAATGCCTGATATTTTCAGGTTCCTGCTAGAGGGCGTACTCAAGCATAGCGATTGCGAATTTTTACATTTTTGTTGTTGTTGTAGTTCATTTACGTCGCATTAAAGCTACACAATGGGCTATTGGCGATGGTCTGGAAAACATCCCTAAGGATGATCTGAAGACATGCCATCACAATTTTCAACCTCTGCAGAGGGATGGCACCACCGCTTCGGTAGCCCGACGACTTGAAGAACAAAGCCTCTTCTTTTAGTTCAATGCCTACGGTCGGCGCACCTTAACCCATTCCTAAAATGGCTGATTCAAGTCTGAAGAAGAAAAAGGTTTCGTTTTCTGACGAGCCGCATAAGGAGGCTTTTTCCAACAAGACATCAGGTTTTGGGAGACCTTATAAAGTTTAATTTAAATTACTCGATTAGTTCGAATCAAACGCATATTCTGCATTTTTAAATTCTTTTTACTCTTATTAAGAATTCTAAGTTTGTTTTTATTTCAACCTAAATTCTTACATTTTTTGAATTTCATTTCTTGTTGTTCTTTTATTTTATTTTTACGCTATTGCATCTTAAATATCTGATGCCGCATTTAACGTAAATGTATCATGTGTAAATTGTAAATAAATGTAAAATGTAATTATTTAATGTGCTTACTCTTCAAGCCATTTATTTCTCTTCAAACTTGATTTGTGAAATATATTTTCTCGATAAAAAACTCACCAACCAGGTTCCCTTTTTCTTTCGACCACGTTCGATGGTGCAGTAATTGTGTATATTGCATATGGTTTTCCTACAAATTCAAAATCTTTCCCATCATCCTTAAATAAAATAATGAAAATAACAAATATTTAGTAAAAGTTATTTTTTGTATAGTATTATCTTTGGATAGACGAATTTTAAAATTGTGCTTAAAAATGTTTCAATTCGCTCAAAAAGTTATTAAGATGTAGCGAAATGAGCAGGAAGTAAAATTAACAGTAAAGAGTCTTTGAAGAGCTCTCCTGACCAAACTTTGGGACCCTATTTTCCAGATTGCAGTTACCCCCTACATTTAACTAACTCTAACTCAGTGGCACGACAGCCCATTAAGAGGGCCAAGGCCGACTGTGCCCATCTCAGTTTTCTTGACCTTGGGCTCTGGGGTGCAGGAGCATATGTTCCGGTCAGGTGGTCAGCCGAACGCGGAACCCCCAGTGTTAGTTCCCAAGCATGCTTGGTACTCATTTTATCGACCCACTGAAGGGATGAAAGGCTGAGTCGGCCTTGCCCGGCCCAAGGATCGAACCAAGGACCTGTGGCACGACAGCGCGAAGCGCTACCGCTCAGCCACCGGGCGTCACCCCCTACATTTACAGGATCAGAAATTGAAATCCATCAAAAAGGGGTATGATAATTCGGAGAAAGTACGCTTTTGTGTCTGATTTCGTAATATAAAATATCGTCTGCACTTATTAATTATCATATTTGATGTTGAAAGTCAGAAATACTATTCAAGCAGGAAAAAAAAATATAAGATGTGTGTCTTATATTTGTTTCGTTTTCTGCTTGAATAGCATTTCTGACCTTCTACACTAAAATAAAACAAATTTTGTTTTAGCTGATTTAAGCACTTTTCCATTTTGATTTATTATTTTAAACGTTCTTTACTTATTTTGTCTTTCCCTGAATTTGTAAATCAGTTTCATACTTTGATTAGCGTATTTGAAGTCACTATCCCAAGCCTACAAGAGTGAGTCCTAGAATGTGAAAATCATTAGATCAAAAGTTATTCAGGGTGGTCCATTTTTTTGGAGCTCTCTACATTAATGTTTTTAATCCTCACAGAGAAAATTTGATCAACAAATAAAAAAAAAATGTTCTAGACGACAACTCTAGCCCTATGTCCATACTAGCTCCTGTGTTCTAAGTACTATTTACAATTGCGAGTAATATTTCGGGTACTTTTGTGTGTGAATAACTCTCTCTTAAACATTATAAAGCAGGAACTTAGTAGATGTGGGTTTTTAACATTCAAGTTCACATTTCTCTAGTAACAAAATAATCTATTAATAGCTGCGCAAAAATTTTACTAGCAGTTAAGTGCTGAATAGTACAGTGATGTACCCCCACTCTAGCTACTCTCGCCAAATACTGGAATCGCTGTTCCTTTCGGATTGCTTTGCAATTCAAATTTTGTTCACTCACTCGTTGGATATTAGCGTTTGTTAGTCTAGTTTTGCATGTATGTTGATACCTTTCTTTAAAATGAAGTTCTAAAACTCTGCAACATCACATTATGTGAAACATTTTATTTATAAGCACATAATTTCATTTATGTATACAACTATTTTACGTATAAAAGGAAAACTAAATTCTGAGTTGAGAGGCTTAACCTATTCTTACATAAAAACATATCATATTTATTCTAACGCAAACTTACAAATTGAATATAAACCAAAAGAAAATGTAAGAAAATGAAAAAAGCATAACTTGCTAATCCTTGTTAATGAATCTCATCTCTCTTTCGTGGTAATTATGAAAATATACTTGCGTAAATTTAAAAGTATAATTAAAACAAAATTTCAGAACAGTTTGTTTGTTGATAGATTTGCTAGAGAACAATTCACAAACAACGTTTACGGAAAAGTTTGCATAATAAACTTTTTTTCAGGGAAAGTTTTAAATACTTTTCGTTTCTAGTTTAATAGAGAAGAGAAAACACCGGGATAGCCTAGTTCAGGGGTGAGCAACACGCGGCCCGCGGGCCACTTGCGACCCGTTAAGCATGTTTATGCGGCCCGCCAAGCATTTCTAAAATTGAATTTATTTCATCGACTTTCTCCCATCGTATTGTTATAAAATTAATTATAATATAATGGTAGTACATACTAAACCGAAACAATTTTTTGTGATGAGTGACGATTTTGGGTTTCTTATCGACATGACTCAGCATCTCAATGATCTTAATGTGGAACTTCAAGGCAAAGGATAGTTTATTTTGTATGATAGACAGTTTATTTGTATGATAAAATTCAGGGCTTTGAATTAAAATTGTGGAAACAGCATCTTTTGCAGTATAATGTGTCTCACTTTCCACATTTAGAAAAAGAAAACGTTACTACTTCTCAAAAATACGCACAATATATCGACATTTTAATCAACGAATTTCAATTACGCTTCCAAATGTTCAAAGCTGAGAAGACAGTGGTTTCCATGAAAATGTTTTCCTCGTCATTTAATATCGATGTGGATACAGTTCCCGAAGACTTTCAAATGGAAGTGATTGACATGCAGAATAATACAGATTTAAAAAATGTATTTTTCTCAGTTAACATAGAAAATTTTTATAAATCGTATGTGAGCCCTGAGAAATTTCCGCTTTTGACGAAAAATGCAAAGCAAATTATGTCTCTGTTCGGAGGTACGTATGTTTGGGAATAATTATTTTCAACCATGAAATTAATCAAAAATAATCACCGATCAAGACTGAGTGATTAACTATTAGAAAGTTGCGTACGTGTAGCTACCTCATTAATACCAACTGATATTGATCAGCTTGTATAGAAAAAACAGTGCCAAATTACTCATTAAAAATTTCAAGTAAATTCGTTTTATTGTTCTTTTCTTGTTTGTTTTTATTTTGCATTAAAATTTGTATATGAAATCTTAACTTTTTTTTAAATTATATATTTTTTTATTCTATTGTTTATTATAAATAAAGTTTTGTAAATTATTAATAAGTGTTACTTTATGTGCGGCCCGCCGAAAAATTTTAAAATTTTAATTGGCCCGTTGATTAAAAAGGTTGCTCACCCCTGGCCTAGTTGATAGGAAGTCGGGCCCATGCAGAAGAGGTCATGAGTTCGATTTCCATCGGCCGAAGACACCTCGTGTAGTAAATGGTGACTGGTACATGTTAAATCTATCGACACGCGGTCCTCCATTTTCCTGTAGCAAATCATATTTCCGGGGTAACTGCCTTGAAGAATGATCTCTCTGGTTCAGATCAAAATTACAATCTGTGGATGAATGAATGGATGTAGGGATGGGTCCGCCCTTCAAACGGGCAGTGACGTGTGTGTAACTGACGTAGTATTTTTGGCCATAGATGGAGTCACCAAAACAGAAGAGTCGCACCCTCTGCCTTAAAAATTCACTTGATTTCAAGCAGGCTTGCTGGTATTGGCAAGTGGCATTAGAAACAACAGAGAAAACATTCTGATGTTTTTCTCCTCTATAGTTGCTAAGCAGTTAACTTGTTTAAAGAGAAATATCCCCCAGAAAATCGTAGAGTATTTCCTTGTTAACCATTTGACGTAGTTGGTATGTCATTTTAATATATTTTTTTCTGAAGGGCTAATTAAAGCTGGCATTTCATTCAAAATATATATTGGTATTTTTTAATTATAAAATGCAGTGTAATAGTTACAATAAAAATTCTGTTAGCTTATCGGAATTATATATTTCTACTTACATATAAAATCGAAAAAACATTTTTGAAATTTTTATGTTTAAAATTTAACAATAATTGTTTATGTAAATTAAAGAAACTTCAATAATGAATAACTGTTTCTCTTTTATCTAAATAATTGCAAATTTGAAAAATTATTGTTAGGCAGTGAACCGGGTTTGGAAGGTTTTACCTTTAATGCAGAAAGAGTTACCGGTGTTTCATACTGTATTTCACAACCACAAATTATTAAAATGCTAAATATAATATTTCTCACTCATTTTGACCTAAAATAAATGTTTACAAAAAGTGTCAAAGGGTATGTAGGAACACCATTTAAGAGAAGTGTGCGTCTATTCATTTTAACATTTACATTTCTATTGCAGTCAAAATCTATTTCTACTTTGTTAGAACTTCATGAAATTTGGGGTAGAAGTAAAACATTATTCATTTTTAAACTCTACATTCAGAACATGCAGTGTTGAAAGAATGAACTATGTCTTTTAAAGACACGGTGTAAAAAGTTATGGAAACTTCTGAGGTAAAAATTGTTGCTAAATGTAGTCTCAATAGAATAACTTTTTTTAAAAGTAAATTAAATAGTATAAAGTAGTCTAGAGTAATAGGAGGCCATGGTAGTTTTCTTGTCACTATGATTCCTTATGACGTCACTACTGGTTTTCTAATATATTTTATCTTATTTCATAACCATCCTCACTGGGTAGCAGGAGCGAACAAGGGTTAGCATTTTGTTTTGATAAGCAGATTATCCGGGTTCGAATCATTATGTTTCTGCTTAGTCTTTCCTTGATATTTTTTTTCTACTGTGAATTTTTACGCCAACTATAAATTTACAGTAAAAAGTAGTGGCTCTCAAGGTGCCAGTGCAGCATGATGGAGCACCAAATACTTAAACCTGTATTTATTATTAAAAAAAAAATTCTAAAATTTTTTCAGTCTTGGTATATAGTTATGTGTGTCTTCAGAGAGAAAAAAAAACTTATGAATTGTTGTTCGTAGCACAATTTATTAGAAACACTGGAACCTTCTTTATTTCATTTTTAAGAGATGCTTCGCTAGTTTTCGACACTCTTATTACCGATAACTTGGATTGTTAACTTTTATTATTTCCGCCATAAGCAGCTTTGATTGCAGGAGTATGACCGAAGTTATTTTCAGTATTAATATTAGCACCTTGAGTTATTAAAAATTCTACAACGTCTTCATTATCTTCATTAGTGGCTATGTGCAGAGGAGTACAACCACAATTATCTTTTGCTTCTAAATCAGCTCCACGCTGTAATAAAAGTTCAACAACGTCTTTTTGATTCTTCTCAGTTGCTGCATGCAAAGGAGTAAAACCGAAGGAATCCTTAACTTCTAAAGAAGCATCCTGCATTAATAAAAGATCGACGACTTCCACTCTTCCCATTTCAGCAGCAATGTGTAATGGTGTACGATTCCAGTGATTTTTTGCCTCCATATCAGCACCTTGTGCCACTAAAAGCTCAACAACCTGTTTTGCACCTTCTTCAGCAGCTAAGTGCAGAGGAGTAGCACAAAATTTATCTCTAGCTTCAATGCTTGCACCTTGCGCTATTAAAAATTCCACAACCTCCAGTTCACTTTTATTAGCAGCTGCGTGAAGAGGTCTTCGGCACTGAGAATCTTCAGCTTCGATATCGGCTCCATGTATTATTAAAATTTCAGCAATATTCTTACTATTAGCTAAATGTAGAGGCGTACGACCCAAGTTATCTTTAGATTGAATATCAGCCTCTTGTTCAATAAGAAATTCTACCATGTTAAGATCTTCAGCAGAAGCATGATGTAAAACAGTCTGTTGCTCTTTGTCTCTGTGATTAATGTAAGAAAGTTTGTCATTAGCATATTTTATCAGAAGCACAGCAATCGCCTTATAAGAAGTAAAGTACAGTGGTGTATAGCCAAACTTGTCTTCTGCTTCAACATTTGCCCCATTATCTATCAAAACTTTAACAATACTCTCATTGCCTTCTTGAAATGCAACAGCATAGTGCAAAGGAGTACGTTTATTTAGATCTTCAAGGTTAACATAAGCATTTTTATGAGTGGCACAATCAATTAAAAGCTCAGCAACCTCATCGAAACCATTAAGCCAGAGGAGTCCGAGGTGCAGAGGAGTCATTTTTTTTGCATCTCTAAAATTAACGTAAGCATTTTTGTCTTTCGCATGATTTATTAAAAGCTCGGCAATCTTTTTACTGGAAGTCAAGTGGAGAGGAGTATGACCAAAGTTATCTTCAACATAAATATCAGCACCTCTTGCAATTAATACTTCAAACACATCCTCCTTGTTTAGATAAGAAGGAGCAGCAGCAAGGTGCAAAGGAGTTCGATTATCTTCGTCTCGAAGGTTAACAAAAGCAATTTCATTTATCGCACAATCAATTAAAATCTCAGCAACCTCCTTGCAGCCATTATCAGCAGCATGGTGCAGAGCAGTTCTATGATGTGAGTCTTTAAGATTAACGTACTCATTTTTACCCTTAGAATGATCTATTAAAAGTTCTGCATTTTTCTTATACTTAGCTAAGTGTAGAGGAGTACGACCATTGTTATCTTCAGCATATATGTTAGCACCTTCTGCAATCAAAACTTCAACAACATCTTCATTACTCCATTCTGCAGCATGGTGCAGAGGAGTTTCGTCAGATTCATCTGCAAAGTTAACATAAGTAATTTTATCAGAAGCACTCTCTATTAAAAGCTTAACAATCTCTCCATCGAAAGTATAATGCAGAGGAGTTAAACCATATTTATCTGTAGCAAAAATATCTGCCCCTTGTTCTAATAGAACTACAACAGCATCTTTGTCATTCGAGTTAGCAGCTATGTGAAGAGGAGTAACTCCCATCTCATCTTTAGCTTCAATATCTGCTCCCCATAATAATAAAATCATAATAACGTCCTTATTGCCTTTCTTAGCAGCTGCATGTAAAGGCGTTTGTAAATAACTATTTTTCGATTTAATATTAGCACCCAATGTTAATAAAAGCTCAACAATGTCAATGGCACATTCGAGAGCTGCTGCGTGAAGGAGAGTATTGGAATGTTCAGATTTTGTTTGAATATCAGCGCCTTGTTCTAATAAAACTACAAAAGCATCTTTGTTATTCCAGATAGCAGCTATGTAAAGAGGAGTATGTCCATTCTTCTCTTTAGCTTCAATATCTGCTCCCCACAGTAATAAAATCTCAATAACGTCCTTATTGCCTTTCCTAGCAGCTGCATGTAAAGGCGTTTGTAAATAACTATTTTTCGATTCAATATTAGCACCCAATGTTAATAAAAGCTCAACAATGTCAATGGTACCTATGAAAGCTGCGTTGTAAAGGGGAGTACAGGAACTTCCATCTTTTGTTTCAATATCAGCTCCTTGTCTAACTAAAAGTTCAACGAATTCCTTTTTATTATAAACACACGCTTTATGCAGTAGAGTGTGACGAAAGAAATGAACTCTTTGTACAAGAAGAAATGAACTCTTAGGTCTACTATTGACCAAATCTGATCCGACTTTTATCATGACATTGAACACTTCCTTTAAATTGCATTCCATTATCATATCTATCATAGACTGTATATCTTCATTAAAATCATAGTATTTAACCATTTGTTGTGCCAGATACAAATCATTAGTATTGGCCCCTCTCCGAAGGAGTTGTTCAGCTATATCCCAACGACCATATTTATCAGCATATCTTAAAGGACGCCAATGGTATAGTTCATCTACAGCATTAACATTAAAACCATGATCTGATAAAATTTCTGTGATATTCGAGTAACCGTGAGCAACAGCTATATGGAGTGCTGTTCTTCCAATTCGATCAGTAGCATTAATAATAGCTTCTAAATTTTCGGAACTTGATAACACTTGTTTAACTTTATTGTCATCATTGTTTAAAACTGCGATATGTACTTTATACGTTATCTTGTCCTCTGCAGCCATTAAATCGAAGAAGATGCTTGTTAACTTATTATCTGGTCCATAAACCTGATCACGAAAATGTGCCTTTACTTTTTCCCGTCTTATATTGCTGAAGTAAAAAAGTGCAGCAAAATACTCTGAAAAACTGTAGTGAATGAAAATTGGTTTTGCACCGACAGTATGACTAATGAAACCTGAGTTTTCTTTTCCCTCCGTTATCTGTTCTTTGTAGTAGGTTAGTTCACGTAACTCTTCTTTTTCAAGGAACTGGTTTATATCTTCCTCACAGAAAAGTGCACTCAATGCTAATAAGGAATATTTTTTTATAAAGGTGGCGTATAGTGTTTCATACTCTGAACCTGATTTAGTTAGATCCAATATATGTTTTTCTAGAAGATGCCGTTTGTACTTGCTTTCAACAAAAACTCTATACAGATCCAGTATATCTAGACTTTTAGGCAAATTTGATTCAGTATTGCTGGAAGGAAAATAAAAGTTTTTAAACTCCGCTCGAAACGCTTCCGCCAACATTTTTGTGTGTAGTGGTATTCCTGTAAATTCTTGGTTCTTATCAGAAATAGGCTGGGACATACAGTCAAGTAACTGTTTGGCATAAATGTCAAAATGTCCCCCGACATTAAACCTAACATCGATAACTTTACACAAATACTTTCTAATAAACATCGCCTGATCTTCTTTAGATAGAGGTTTTAAAATATACGGTAATACACTTAATATGTCTTCCAATTCTTTTTTCATGTGTGGACGAGTAGTTATCCAAAGTTTTTCAACTTTAGTAAGTTTTAAAACTTTTAATAGTTGGGCGACTCGTTCCTTGTACTTCGGAACTACCTCGTCAAAACCGTCAAAAAGCAGAGCAATTTTTCCTTGGGAATTAAGTCTGTATTTAAATAACTTTTTTTCCAGTGGAGTTGTTAAACCTGCAATATCTAGGAGAAATTCAAATGTTTTTGCCTCATCATTGACAAAATTTTGAGCTTCTAGTTTTTCTGTATAATCATTCAAATTAAATCTCACAACCCAAAAGGAAGCATCACAGTTTTTTAATTCACGTTCTAGTTTAGTCAGCACAGTGGATTTACCAGCACCAGACACTGAGCTTATAATTACAATTCTATCATCAATATCACGAGATTCAGAGACGTACTCTTGATCTACATACTCAAGCAAGATGGATAGAGCACCACGAGACTTCTGCCATGCGAAATTGTCATCTTCTTTTTTCAACCAATGAATATTATGTTTTTTATATTCATTACAGAGTTTATCAAAATCGTCATCCCCATCCGAAATCAGCACAATATCTTGAGTTGCTTCACACTTCAATCTAACTACTTGCTTGTTATGAGTAATAAGTAGTCTTGTTTCTCTTTCTATTTCTTTTTTAATGACTATATGGCGTGTAAAGATTCGATCAATATAGTAACTAGCAACATCACCTAAGCTAGAGAGAGCTTTACCAACGGCTATTGAATCATTGTTTATAAGTTTAGACAATATCTCTTCATCGATTATTTGTTTTGATTCATCAGTTATCAATGTACCTAAACATATTTTTTCTCCTTGAAAATAAATTTTTTTCTCTAGAAGTTGCTTTTGGGTAGTAATTGTTAAATCGTCGAATTTAATTTTTAAATCATCATTCTTTTCAACATACGCATTATAATTATTTCCCAAAAAATTTCTTACATTACCATTGTTTTGTGAAACTAATATGAACTTAAATTTAGGTTTGCTTCTTATAGCAATAAGAGAATTATTAAATAATGTTGCTGATTCATTGCTTTCAATATTACAATCAACAACAAATAACACTGGAATCACTTTATCTAATTGTTTTACAAATTGTTTTAATGGAAAATATTTATCCAAATTTATAAGCTGTTCTAAACTCAGAAAAAAAGTTTTACTCGTTTGATGGTCACCTTTTGTCTCTTTCAGTACATTTAGTATGTTTTTTACTCCCAAAACACGATGCGCTTTGCAATTTAATTGCAAAAATTGCAAGTGAGAGTTATTCAAAAAATCAACAACGTATTTAGGAAATGACTCAATAAGTTCAATATACTCAATAGATTTAAGATAATTAAGAGACTGATTTTCGTAAACATCATTTAAGACATCCAAATTATTTAACTTAGTTTTTATCTCAATATGTATATTCGGCAAAATAAATAAAATGTTTTTGACACAAGTGATCAATTTCTTCAATTCTTCTTCTGAGTTGCACTTGATAAAACCTCGTCCTTCCCCCTCTTTCACTTCAAATTCTTGCAATGTTTCTCCAATTTTGTCTTTGCTCATTTCTGCGTTTGTCTTTTCCTCAAGTAGGAAGAACAAGTCATCTAGGATAAAAAGCATAGAAAACTGTCTTAACTTAAGATATTCATTTAAAAATTCGTACTCCGACTGCATGAAAATATTAGCACTACATTCTCCTTTTTCCACACTTTGTACTTGATAACGGAGAGTGCAATATTCGTTATCATCCGGAGGTGGACTATAATAGTTAGTACAGTTTGCTAGTTTATGGAAACGTTCATATTCGTTTACGCTACTTGAAAATTTTTCTAATATTTTTGCACATAATCCACCTTTTACTAATGGCCAATCTATTATCTTCATTATTTTTTCGTTCGAAGCTTTTTCTTCGGAAAGAAACACATTTCGAATTTCCTCCTTTTTGTGAGTGTATCTGGTATATTGAAAGAAATCACAACAAGATTTTCTCGTAGGTAAGTTTTCGATAAACACACGATATAAATTACCAACATTCAGGTGTGAGTTAAGAGTATTGACAGCATTTGGTGCAGAGAGATATATAGTGATATCCAACAAAAAGGATAAATGAGGTTTACCACCATAGCGTATATTAAAGTCACTTTCCATTTTCAACAACATGTCTTTGCAACCAGGACTATCAAAAACCACGGTATGAGTGTGAAAGCCCTCTTTTTTGCTTTTAACAAAGAGCTTGCCTTCGTCTTCGAACGGTTTAGTAGCAAGATATTGTAAAGTAAAGGCAGTAATTTGTGCAAGCCAGCCTCCTAACGAATGCCCTGTTATGGAAATTGTTAGATTCACTGAATGCTTTCTACTAAGCTTTTTCAGTTTCTTTGCAACATTGTTGGAAAACGTAGCTGCTGAACTCATTTGAGAAGTGTAATCCTTTGACATAATACCTTCATAGTCTGCCCAAAGATCATTAAAACATGTGAGACGTGTCCCTTTGTGGGCGATAACAACTTGCTGGCAGTTGGGATTCCAATAAGCAGCCCCAAAATAGCCATCAGTGGAGTTTTCTGCTGTTGTCAACAAAACCCAACTTCGCTCCAGTGGATCCAAACAGTTTTTCAGTTCTTTGTAAACTCTGCATGCAATTTGAGCTAAAAATGAGTCACTCGGATAAGCACATCTGTTTAAGAGAATGGATGTTGCATTTGTGCTTATTATATCAGATTCAATTATTGATATAAAGTCTCCGTCACTGTATTCTAAATCAACTACTTTTAGTTCTTTGCTTAAAGGAAATGCCATTTTCGAATTTGCAATGGTCTTGTCTTGTGCAGGAAGAGATGATTTTCCCATAGTGAGAAAGCAACGTGTTCTTCAATATTTGAATAGGGTTATCTAGCGGAGTCGAAGAAGTAAATTGAAGAGATATTTTTCATGGGAAAAAGGAAGAAGTGCCATCTTCGATTTTGGAATAGGAATAATGTGTGGAGATGAAGAAAGTTTTCTCACACTGTAAAGGAAGTGCCATCATCATCGTTTAGAATAGGAACATCTCGTGGAGGTGAAGAGAATTTTCTCAGAGTGAGAAAGAAGTGCCATTATCTTCGATTTTAGAATAGGTCTATTTTGTGGAAGTGAAGAGAATTTTCTCACTGAAAAATAAGTGCCATAAACGTTTTCAGATAGTGCAAGGGAGGAAAAGTTTCGAACTGTGAAAAGGAAGTGCCATCTCTGATTTTAGGACAAGGATGATTTGACTTCAGAATTTATTGTAAAGTGCTCTTAAAACTCATTTTACTTTTTTCTTCTATACGAGACAGGACTTTCCAGAGAAGTTTTGTTCCAGTGGAGCTCCATAAAAGCTTGTTTCTCTAACAAAATAAAAATTTCTTGTTAACTTTAACAAAAAAGCAAAATAAAAAAACAACCTCTTGTTAACTTTGACAATCAATTTTAACTTATGGAGCTTCAAAAAATATTTTTTGCATAAACATATCATAATCTTCAAAAATTGAATCGATAAGTACGAAAACCAGTAATCTTTTTTTTTTTTTTTAAATTTGAGATTTTTGCATTTTTAAGTTGTGTTGACGTAAATACAAAGTTAGGATATAAAAATTCATGCTCACCTTCTTGGTACAGTATATTTGGTGCCCTAAAAAAGCTCTGTATACATCAAGTTGATACTTAGCTATTCAGTTATTTGTACCTCTCTTAAAATTAGTTTTGTTGGAGATGACCAGTTATCGAATACATTGGTTCAATTATATTTTGTCAAAATCTCTTAAAATAGCTTATACAACATTAATTTCTAAAGCCTTTTAATAATTTATACCTTCAGCAGCATTATATCATTAATACCGTGCCAAAACCACGAAAGTACGAAATTGTGCAATATACTATATGTGAAAAAAAAACAATTATTTCGGGTCGCCAAATTTATGAGGCTTTTGAGCGCTTCCGTAACATTTTTAAATCCTATTGTGAGCTAATAACTGGCAATTTTGTTTTATTTGAAATATTGGCGTATAATGTTCTTGACTAGTTAGGTGTGCCATTCACACTCATTCCAGTGGTATAGTGTACTTAACCAAGAAACGAATAAAAAAAGAATAAAAAGAATCATAAATCTGCAAATTTGCGAAATTTGCAGATTTATGATTTTGGAGCAGTGTTAACGTGATTTTGTCGTTCGTTCAACTCCAAACATTTTATAATTTAACCACTCCAAACAATCTTGCGAAATATTTGTTTTGATCATAACTGATTTATTGCTATATGTACCTACAGTGTGCCTTAAAAAGAGGAAATCACCTCTAATAACTTTTATAATGAGCGGATTTTCTTACATTAAGATCATAGTTTTCTAAATGGTTCAAAAGGCTTATCTAGAAAATGCAAATTATTTTATTAGCGTTAACTATTAAATTAATTATTTCGATGGATTTGGTTTCTTGACTGTTTAATTTAAGGTTTAGCAGTTATTTGGCATAATTACTATATCCTAACTATATGGTCCTTATAAGTTTTTGAAAATTTGAGCCCCTCAATATTAATCTCACTTTTTGTTTATTTAATTGGATCTCGAAAAATTCTTAAGGCAATTGGAAATATTATGCTTATAATTATAAAACTCAATTATCTAAACATAATTACATGGAGGAATTATATTTTTTATTTTTAAGAATGGCTGAAAATTTCTAAAATTGCAACGTATACAATTTGTTTTTGTTAAACTATGTAAATTTTAATGAAAATATTCAAAATTTAAACGAAATCAGTGGAAATGTTTCTGAGTTTTAAAAAAAGTCGAATTTTTACTCTATCATGTCTCGAATTATCCGACCGAATCATTTGAAATTTTATGATTTGCAATTTAAAATTACAAAGTTTAAATTGACATCAATATCTGCATGGTGTTTTGATCACAAATAAAAAAAAATCTGTAAACAATAATATATAATTATTAATAAAATATTTTTTACGCGAAATTATCTTCGGATAAACCAGTTTTATTATTACGTATAAAAGTTTTTCGATTCGCTTAATAATGTGGCATGGTAAAATAAGCGGAAAAAGAGATTGACATTAAAGGATTCAAACTTTTGAACAACCTCTTGGTGAAACTATTATTATTATAGTTTCTAGAATGCTGCTGTCTTCTTACATTTAGTTTATCAAAAATTCAAGTACACTGAAAAAATGCTTGTTAATAAACACACGTTTTTTACACTGTTAATAAACACTGTTAATTTACACAGTTAATAACCATTTAGAGTAGTAGTAGTAGTTCATTAGCGTCTCATTAGAGCTGCACAATCGGTTAATGGTGATGGTCTCGTAAACATTTTTAAGGATGATCCGAAGATATGCCATTATAATTTTGACCCTCCGCTGAAGGAATGGTAGTCCGACGACCTGCGAGCGTAGTGGAATACTTTACGGTTTCGCGGGTATAAGGCTGACTGATATGGTGCTCGTTTGGTCCCTTAGTAGGGAAGTTGTACTGGTCAAAGTTGTTACCAACCCACACACTAACCACTGCCAGTGATGATTGAGTCATTGGAAACCACGTCTTACTAACAATCCACTGTGGGACTACTGATTATTGTTCAGAGAAAAACACTTTCGTATCCAATTTCTTAACTTACTTTATCTACCTTTTGAGCAATTAAGATTAATTTTAGTAAATGAAAATCTGATCATTTGAAGAAAAATTAAACAAGGTGACGCCTTTTCTATGTCCATGTAAGAACTTTACGATATGTTTTTTCAGTTTTAGTTTGATAAATAAAGACTTTAAGCATTTATAAAATTGAAAACGCAGCCTATACGTTTGGAGCACTCAAAATATGTTCCACAAAACACGAGTTATCAAAATTCAATAACATGTGATGTTTTCTAAGAATGAACATGAAATAATTGTGACTTAAAGAGGTGGTATTTTGCAGAAAATTTTTATGTTTGCTTTTTAAAGATGGTAGAGAACTTAAATGGTTTAAAAAGGCTAACTGAAATGATGTGGATGTTCGAAAAATTCATTGTTTTTTTGTAAAGTTTTCTCAAGGTTTTGTAAAGTTTGTAAAGTCATTGTTTTTTTGTAAAGTAAAGTATATATATATATATATAAGAAGNNTATATATATATATATATATATATTAGGAGAGGCAGAGGTGTTTCGCAATGTCCTCTCTTAAAATATATATTTTAAACAACGCTTAATGAGGAATTTAATAATATCTTGACTGATTCAATCTCCAGAAAATACAGTGTCTCAACCATAAGGGTCTCCGACTTTAACACTTTAAGCTTTTCGTATTCTATTGTTTGTTTATTTATTTACTTTTTTGTAGCATTGCTCGGTTTTGAAAATAGGATAAATTTAATAAAAAAATACCATTGCTTTGTTTGGAGATATTTTCTAGTTCTACTCAGTTCGGTTCCTGTTATTTAGTTTAATTTGTTAAAAATATAAGTCATTATATATTCTCCAGTGTTTAAGAAAAGGTAAGCATTCGCACAACAGCTCGTTGTGGGCCGAGGGTTCCAAGAGGTTAAGGCTGAACAATTTCCATGATTCTAGCAATGTGGACGTCAATATTGCTGACAAGGTGTCTCCGCTTTCCAGATAAGTTTATACTCATCGACCTCAAGATGATTGGGCTTAAAGTCATTGCTGTGGATCGAACCCCTGTCCTACTTAATTGCAGCTCATTACCTTGAGCCACTGAACTTTTGTGACAAGAGGTAAAAAGTATTGAGTTCGTAGATTTTGCAATTTTTTTTGTCTTCCTGCGTGCCAATGTTTAGTTTTTCAGCTTATGATTAATTGATTAACAAAATTATATTGATAATGTCATTATAATTGCATACAAAATTGTTAATTTCTACGTTAAAGTTATGTAAATGAAGTACATAATTTAACATTTTTAGACAAATCTCAAATTGTTAACCTTTTTTATATTAAAGTTATATAAATAAAGTTGCATAATTTAATATTACTAAACACCTATGGTTGCGGGTTCGAATCCCGCTCAGGGCATGGATGTTTCTCTCTGTGTCGCTTTCTATTGTGTGAATGCGGCCCACCCTATAAACGGGTATCTGTGGCAGTGTGGCGTGGGTAATGTTGCTCGCCTCCGTTACTAAGGTTCCCAGGAGCCCACTGGGTAACGTTAAATGGGAAAAACTTCCCGCCTCTTCTTAGGAGAAGGGCGTAAAAGTTCAGTGCCTGCCATTAGAAAAAAAACATACCTAAACAAATCGGAAAATGTTGTCCTTTTGCGTACGGCTAGTACGACAATTGGATCTAATTTCCGGTTGCTATGGATAATAGGGCGTGTCTTTAGCTTTTTTTTAAATTAAAAATATATTTCAATTAGATTATAAGTTGTCTTTGTGTCCCTCATTTATTAATTTCTTGTGTCAAATTAAAGAAAAATATTAAAATCTCTCACAATCGGCTTAAAAGTAAATGTTTTTTTAATCGAAAGGAAAAATTTTAAGTTGTCAATAAGCATAAACATAAAATAAAATTGAAACTTTAATCACAAATTTTTTTAATTTAGAACTTACAGTGCACAAAGAACTAAAAAATAATAATAAATAAAAAATAAACTGACCAACCTGAATAACCTTTGATCTAATGATCGAATCTTCACGTTTTAGGTTACAATCTTAATGGTTCAAGGGGGTGACCTCAAATATGCTAATTAATTAGAGTATACGATATTTTAAGTTACGAAATCAGATAATAAAACATACTTTTTTCTGAATAAACATACCGCTTTTGGACTCATTCTTAATGGTTCAAGGGGGTGGCCTCAAATATGCTAATTATTAGTGTATATGATATTTTACGTTACGAAATCA